TTCCTCTCCCTGAATGCTTTTTCTAGATGATATATAATGTTTTTTAAACCAAGGTGCCACCTAGGTGGATTAGATAATAAATTACTAATCATCTAATATTCTCATCATGCATTTCACCTGTAATCTTTCTGATTGATTTGTCTTTCTAATTACTTATACTGTGTATGTCCTTAAGGTTATTTTGTAGGAAGGTCCATCATATTTTAATTTTTTCTTGGCTTTTGTTTTCTGAAGTATTTAATTCTATAAACCATTTAATCATTGCAGTAATTAACCTTAATTAACCTCAATAACTTAAAAGACATCAAAATGCTGTATTCAATCGTTTTACAGCAATAAACTGATGTTTACCAAGTGGAGCAATTTATTATTTTTTAGTGTAAGCCAGAGTAACATAGTGGCACAGTGGTCACAGTGGCACAGTGGTTCAATTCCTGACCCAGAATTCCAAGCTGTGTGGAGCCTGTCTGTTTTTATGGTTTCTTTCAGGTGCTCTAGTTTCTTCCAACAGTCCCCAAAACATCCATGTAGGTTAATGGTCTTCTGGAAAATTTAGCCCTGGTATGAGTGTGTGTGTCTTTTGCAAGGTGTCCCCTTCTTTGTGCCTGTTGCTTGTTGGGATAGGATTGAGCTCCCCAAAATAAAGAGATTAGAATAGGATGGATGTATTATTCTATAATAAACTTCAAATAAATGTATTTTTGTTTTGTGTATTTTGTGCTAGTCAATAGCTTTTTTTAATTTTCGATGTCAGTAGGGGTAAATTATTACTTAACATCTATATTTCACATGTACTCAAGATGGAGTCAGTCCTGACTAGTTAAAGTCAGTCCTTACACCTGAAGAAGGCTCCACGGCCGAAATGTTGTGTTCTCTTTCTTCTTTTTTTCAGCATGGAATAAACCTATTACTTGTTCCTAACGTTTAACTATTATTTTATTAATTTTCCCATCCGCTACACTCTCTGACACAATATTCTTTCTTTTGCTAGGAATCGGTTACTTTGATCCATTCTCTTTTCAACAGTGTTCTTCTGAAGAACAAGGACAGATCAACTCTCTTTTATTCTTGATTTATCTTGAATCCTGCAAAGCAGGACAAGTACAAGAAGAAAAGTAATACAGAAGACGAGACAGTCGAAGAGCAGGGTTTATGAAATTATTACTTTTTCTGGGCAAGGGTGGTTGTAAATTATGCTGAACATTTTTAAATTAAAGTACTTTGCTTTCAAAACACTTTGCTGGCCTGTGCAACATGAATAATTTTAAATAACTGGAAGAACTGAAGTGTACAATTGAATCCAGCACCTATCCAAGGGTGAATTCAATTAGATGTGAATGGCTCTAAAATAAACAAGTCCAGAGAAGTGGATGAGCTGAAAGCTGCAATACTGGATTGCACAGTGCACACTATTTATTTCTTTTTTCAAAAACACAATTTCAACAGTATTATTTTACTGTATTTACACCCTCCCCAGCCATCTGTGGTACTCCCCTCCAGGTTTCTACCTAAGGACCCCAACAGCAGCTGCACTCACAACAACCAGTTTCATATTGCCATAACCCACTGAAGCTACTGTAAATAGGTGTGAGCCTGGTCAGTACCTCCTGGGAAAAACTAAGGTTGCTGCTGAAAGAGGTCTTAGTGGGTCCAGCAGACAGGTCCTGTGGTCTGTGTGGGTCCTAATGCCCCAGTCTAGTGAAGGGGACACTATAGTGTAAAAAGGCATCGTCCATCTGATGAGACATAAAACCAAGGTACTGACTCTCTATGGTTTTAAAAAAAGTGTTTCTCGAAAAGAGTAGGGGTGTTACCCCAGTGTCCTGGCCAAATTTCCCATTGGCCTTTACCAATCATGGCCTTCTAGTAATCCTTGTCTTTGAATTGGCTTCATCACTCTGTTCTCCTCCCCACTGATAGCTGGTGTGTGGTGAGTGTACTGTGTGCCCTGTGGTTGCTATTGTATCATCCAAGCGGATGCTACACATTGGTGGTAGTGGAGGGGAGTCCCCATTACTGTAAAGTGCACTGAGTGGATTGTCCAGAAAATTGCTATGTAAGTGTAAGGAATTATTATTTATCATTATATGTTTTACATTAACATATTTCAGGTGCAGTCAGTAATACCCGCTCCTGCTACTGTGAGGGGCTCAGATTAGGCATCAACCAGCAAGAACACCGAATGTGAACAGAGAACTGTCCTACTTAGACTAATAGAAAAACAAGCAGAAACCTTTTTTCCAGGAGCACACTTTCTGAGAAAGATAACAGTAATTGTGGAATCCATTATACAGGGATTATGTAATACACTGACTAGCAAATGTCTCATATACAGGTAGGTAGGTAACTGAAGAGGACTCAAGATAATAACAACCCAGAGCTACTGGAAAGATTGAATAATGCCAAAAAAGAACTAGATGTTATGTGTCAGAAGCAATAACACAGAAAATGAATTCACTGATCTTCAAGACAGATCTAATGGCATAAAAAACTTCAAAGTACCCTAGTGCAACATTTCCCAGAGCCACACACTTTTTTAGGTAAGCAATGAAATGTTGTGAAATACAAAAAACAAATTACATGGAAAATAAAATTTAATATCTGGAAATGCACAATTTGACTTGTCAAAAAATAGGCAGAGAAGATGTGCAAGGCTTATTATGCCCTTAGGTAAGAGGGCAGTGATAGATAATTTCTTATTGGTTATTTCCTTTTGGTCATATACCGTATATGATCAGTTCTATGTCCAATTGCACCTGTGACTCCTCTTTCAGTTAATGCATTAAGCCAGGGTGCTTTTTCCATAGTGGTCTCTAGAATCAAATGGAAAAGTTTTAGTTATATCCAGTCCTGAAAAAATCAACATTCTCACAGTGGATCTACTCTGTGCTTAAACTAGACCTGATTACTCTAGTTATGTTTTTAATATTGTATCCTTTCGAGCAGCTTTATTTATAATATTTATGTAGGCTGCTATGCTGAACTGGGCAAGCTTCAGATGTGCGGTTTTACCTGCAGAAGCCTTGGGTTTATAGATGGAAAATATAGAATTAACTTCAAACCCGTTTCATAATAATTACACTATTCATTTTGGTTTGAAGTTTAAATTGAAAGATCTTTTTGAGAATATGCTTTTGAAAAGGGATCCTATAAATGTGCATTAATAATGTAATTTCAAGAACAATCCACTAGATGGCAGATTTAAAACATAAATTACCATAACGCACTTATCTCTGGTGTACTACTACTACTACTACTTGCTTACAATTGCTTTTCTGGACACTCCACTCAAAGTGCTTTACAGGTAATGGGGACCCCCCTCCACCACAACCAATGTGCAGCCCCACCTGAAAGCATTCTGGTGGTAATGAGACTAACAAGCATTTTAAATGAACACTTATATTGTAGCTCCTTGTGAATCCTGTTTTTAGAGACATGACACACCCCTGACCCATTCATCTCTAGAGCTAATTTGTTTTTATAATTTGCATAATTTCATCACAACAGAAACACCACACAGTCATAAGTAATCATTATGCTTTCAGATGAAAAGTCAGTGCGTGCCCCAGCCTAGCTGCACATCGTCCAGGAGTGTATGCCAGTTATAGCAGCGTTCAACAGAGTAAGGTACTAAATCCACCCATCCTTCTGCCTAATGATATGGCACTTGTCCACTTGCAGTTACATGTTTTTCTTAAGGCAATTAATTACATAACTCTTTGGTGTGGTAAAAGCACAACTGTTTCTAGATACAAATGCAAAGACCTAAATACCTGCCTTTTCAGACGTATTTCAAACTTGCATCAGAGCAGCCCCGTCAAAGGCTATTTTTATCAAGACGTCAAGCTGTTGAGTAACTATAAATATAAACTATAATTGCTGATAACACTGACAAGATTAAGCATGATTAATGTTTAATAAGAGCCATACACTCTTACATTTGTTAAAAGATAACACATGTAATAACAGATAGCTGTTAATGTAAAAATTGTGCTCAAAGACATAACCTTCAATGGTTAGTTTTTTGCTAACCATTTTTTAATTAATTTGCATTTCTCAAAATCCAGAGAGCACAACATGACACCATCCCACACCCCTACTCACCCGTCATTGGTGGTGCTCCAAGTTTCCATCTTTTGGATGTCTCTGAGCAGCAGGAGACAGCTTCAGTACAGGCAGTGAGGATTTGAGTGCTTCAGCTGCAGCACTCCTGGCCTCCCCCAACCTCCCCTCCCAGCATCATGTAAGCAGTACAAATGTCCATAAACTACAAGTTATATCAAGACAGGATGGATCCAATGCAGTCAGGGAAGGGAAGCTCAACAACAAAGCCCCTACAAATCAGTAAATTACTTATCCAACTTGACTCAGAAGCCTTTTCTGGTCAAGGAGGTAGGCGTAGCAACCTTGGTGTGTTTCTCCATACCAAAATACAACACAGTTCAAAAGGATTTAATAACTTCAGAGTTCATGCTTCTCCTGTAAAATTTCCAATGCTTTTTTAGAACAGGGGTTGATGATATACCTATTTATTCTATAATCATGTGGTCGTCGTTACAGAATCAGAACTCAGTTCAATGTGACAAACACCGCACAAATACATTTATTCTTCAAGAAGAAATCTGCTTCTGTACATTATGCATTTTATCTTTGGAAATGCACAAACTACATTTTTTTAATTCTTGGGATGTTAAAGGATTCAGTATATGTCAAATTTAAATTCAATAACTTGAATGAATATTCAATTTTACAGTGATTCCAGCCTTTGGCTGCATTTAGGAACAACCTAAAACTTATTGTAATAGTTGTATTTCAAGATCTTAGCAAAGAAATCCGTCCTGTAAAGCACTTCCAAATGTGCCAAAACTCCTAGGATTTTATGTTATCGCTTTCCGCTATCGAGAATTTGGCAATTCTATATTAATGTATAAAGGGAGTAAAGAGGAAACTGAAAGCTAAAACACTCAGCCTTATGTGTTAAGAAAAAGATAAATTAAGAAGAGTTTTGCAATTTAAATTTAATGATATTCAATTCTCTTTTGAGGACCTTGAGACACAAAACTAAGATTGTCAGACTTTATTACATTCATTTCTTCTGTTACAAGAAATTGAACAAGAACTCAAAAACCATGCTACAGTATATCGAGCAGTTTAATAATCAGACATGCAATTTTTTTAACAAGGTTTTCTGCTAACTCTATTCTGTATAATGTATTTGGTGTGAGCATTTTTTTATCAAGTTCATATAGACTTGGATATGTTAAGGCAGGTTTTATGTAAATGCATAGACTCTAAGGTTAACAAACTCATCTAGGAAGAATGCATAGATAATTACATTTATAATAATAATAATCTATGTTGACACTTTTTTCCAGACTGACACTTTACACTATCAAAAAACATGTTTGTGTTGGTGAAATGCAAATACCAACCCGTTTCTGTTGTGGTTTTTAAGTTGGCTTAATAATAAAGTCAGTGCATTGCTGAAAATGGTTCTAAAATACATAATATGCATATATTTTAAGTTGACTTTCATTTAATAAAATGTAAAAATAGAAAGAGGCAGTCAGTGTAAATGATACTTTTGCAATGTCTCAAGACTTTTCTGTTGAAAACTGATTTTACTACTCACTGTGTCTGCTACACATTTGATATAAATTGATACACGTGTACACAGACAGTTTTCTGCTGCCTTTTACTCATTGACCAACAATTGCCAGTAGAAGACGTTTGTAGTCTCCACTTGTATCTCCTTCCACCATGGTATATAGGGTTTTTTGGTACATCTGCATGAAGGCTTCCTTAATCTGCACCAGATCAATCTGTAAGGAAAATCAGGATTTATCAGTCGCATGAGGAGAAACATGCGTCGACTGCAATATCATTTATAAAATAAAAGTAGTTTTCTGGGGCTAAAAGCAGAGGTTAATTCATACTCAAAAGTGAAAAAAAAAAACTCAGCTGTGGAGCATCTTTTATGCACCTTGAGAACACTCTACAGCTAAAATGTTGTACTGTATTTTTTTCTTTTTACTTTCCAGTATGGGGTGAATCTGTTTGCTCCTTTGTAGCTCACATGATACAACTCCCCATTTTGACCTCTAACTGTAAAGTCAGCCCTTTCATCTTACTGTATAAAATAAATCACTCAATATTTTATGCCTACCAATTCTTATTTTACAAGAAGATGTTCAATATAAAAATGCAGTAGTTAAACAGATGAATAAGGAGTAAACACTTTCAGAGCTCTTAATAAAGTCCATGTACTGTATAGTTTATCTCTGTGAAGTGAATAAGCAAACTCAAAATGCAACCTAAATCAGCATGTACACACTCCCTTCCACTCTTGAGGAATTATGTGCCCCTTCTAATTGCAGAATTACAGCACATCAAAATGAATTATAATTTGAAAATCATTGTTTTTTAAAAAAATCAAAATGTTATATAGCATGTTATAAAACATTTTAACATTTTAAACAACACTTGAAAGTTCTGATCTTCAAAATAAAACTTTCGGGATTTTCCGTTTTTATAGCAGATCTGTGCTGAAGTGATTACCTGCGTTTTACAGTGCTTTCAGAGCTGAGCTACAGAAATAGCTACAGTAGCTAGTGAAAAGACACTACTCTTATACTGCTAAAAATATCACCACTGCCGAGGACAATCATCACTAAACTGTGTAAATGCTTTTTCACAGTTATCAAATAGCAAATGGATTTCAGACTAAATGAATTTCATGTAATGCTTTTAAGGAAGTATTGTTGTAGGCATTCACCTCACTGCGAGTTACAACGATCCTGGTAAGACTGGAGTCATCTGTGCCTGCTCCCTTCATTGACTTATATAGTCTCTCAGCAAAGAAAGCTGGACGATTCTGGGCACACTGAACTGCAGAAAAGACAAAAAACAACCTAAAAATTATTTCCAGAAGCTAATTCAAAAGCAGTTTAATATTTAGGGAATATATATATATTAAGGTATCAAGCCTAAAATTACAAAAGCCTCCTTTTCAATGAAACACAGCAGAACACTTATCTTTATGAATCATTAATAAAAAAGCTTATTTAAAATGTTCTTACCTATTGCAACCAAGCCAGATTCAACATAGCCACTGAATTCTTTTTTAATGGCAGTTATTAAGTCATGTTTGCCAATCTGTAAAGTTCAGAAAAAGACAAACAATTACAGTAGGTATCCAATGCTAATTTAGTAGTCATAAAATACAGTGCTGAATTCATGACAGACATAAGTTTTGAAAGAGAAAAGTATTTAGCTCACATAGGCTTATGTTTGTACTGAAAGTATAAAATATTAAATTTACATTTTTTATTTAAATGCTTAAAAAAATGTAGAGCAAAGTTTTGTAACTGATAACCTTATCAATTCAGAATGAATAACTTCTTAAAGTCAACATACTAACAACAAGTAATCCTGAAATAATAATGTTTGTTTTTCCCAGCAAAGAAAATCACCCTTTAACAAGTAGAATTTACAAAGTCCCTCGTGAAAAATGAGTCATCTCCACATGAGAGTTATAAGGCCATATGGGATATCCTTTCTCATAATAATATTGCATCAAATGACTTTTACATTGCAAAATGTAGCAGAAAAATGTAACAATTTATTACGAAGGGTGTCACCTAACGTTCTTATAAGAATATTTATTGCCTTTCCATATTTTAGAAGACAAGCATTTTAACTACAAGTACTTCTGTCATTGACATTCACCCTTCAAAAAGTTCCAAACACCTTTAAATTGGCGAACACACTCTGAGGAGAATGAAGTGAGTTTGAAATAAAGATCAATATGGCAATACAATCAAGAAACATGTTCCTTCAAAACAACTTCCTAAACATATTGTAAATGTTTTCACTGATGAGGAAGGCCTTATAACCACGAGAGCAACACTGGACATGCATACCCTGCCATAGGCCTCCACGGTGGCCCTGAGCTGGGGAAAGCTGCGGGTAGCCAGAATCATGTTGAAGGAGGATTCGTCTGTCCCCAGTTTGCCCTCCCCTGCTTGGAACAGGCGCTGAGCGTCCTCCTGAGCCTTCTGCAGGTTGACTGCATCACTTTCATCCCTGTTCCCCTGCAGACGCATTAACAGCATACTATTAGTCAGAACTCACTCACACAGCCCCAGGATGGCACAGCTCCACACTTAGACTTATTTTGGATTCCATTCCATCAGCAGCTTCTGGTCTTGATGACAGAACACACTCTTTAACGTCAAAGTGAAAAAATTCTACAGGTCCTCCTAAATTAATTCAAAATATAAAACGGAAAATACCTGATTGCATAGGTATTCACGCCCATTGAGACAATGTTTGATATAGGCACATTTGGCACAAATTACAGCCATACTGTATGTCTTCTTGGAAAAGCTTCTCAGCTTTTCACGTTACACAAGCTAGTATCTGACAAAGCAAAATCCAAATGTGCAAAAAAGCAATTAAAAACAGAGGGAAGAATACAAATTAAAGATGTCCCACTATCCTTTTAGTTTTTCTGTTAGTTTGTTACCTACTGTATTGATACCAGAATTTCTTTAAGTCAGTGTTTGAAGTATCAGTTTATCGCTACCTGGGTGATGCAGGCAACTCTTTTCTTGTGTCTAGTGTTGACTAATCCTGTCACTGACTCACGCACACTGGAATGCTGAAGTGAGGCAAGTAAGAGCTTACCAGCAGTTGATCATGATTATTAAAATATCTTCTCTGTGATTAAATGAATGGATTATTAAAATGTTCTACTTATTACTACTTATCATTCCAACTTAAAAACTTGATTTCCAAAAAACACAGACTCTGACACCTAATTTCAGTCATTATTTGCAGTGGGATTCCCTTGACTCCTACTAAACTAATCAATACCTGGCACATGGAGATGAGCAGCCTCTCAAAGTGCCCGCTGGTGTCCTTGCGGATATCCTTCTCTAGGTCTCGACCAAATTCAGAGTTGTAGCACTTGACAATATTCCTGATCTCTTGATTATCTCGGGTGCAGAGAATCTCAATCAGGACCCTCTCCTGGGTCCCAGCTCCCTGAAGGAAAAATATTGGATGTTAACCTATCAGAAATTTACAATGGGACTACTAAGGTCTAAAGCACTCCGTATTTATAATCAAGCATTAAAGAATCTCACACTTAACCAATGTCAAAATGTCAGCAAGCTAAAACAATCTATGACATGTTCTTGTGGCAACAGCAAAACAGGATAGTAACCGAGTAGCAAAATATTAACAGTTTATTGATTAATCATAATTAGAATTGTTACCGATAATCATAATTATCATTGGTAACCAGAGAATGAAAATACCACAGCTATTGTTAAGAGGGTTCTGCAAGTGTCTTAGTATGTTTGCATTAAAGGAGTTCTGTTAAAAATAATTTAACTGCTTGTTATGTCCCATGCATACACTAATCTCAATAAAGTAGAAGCCAGAAATACAAGATCTGTATGGCCTAGGAAAGGGCAAAAAGTCTATCTCTGAGGAGACAAATGTCTGTCATTTGTCTGCTCACTTTTTGTGCTGGTTAAGTAAAATTAAATTTGTATTCTTCATCTAAATTATGTACATTTTTATGTTTATCCATTATCATATCCTGTTCACTTGGGATTTAACTTTTCTTAATTGTTTGCAATGTAGCATTTACACAAGGCAAATTGTGCTTAAAAGGGTGTGTCTGTGTCACATGAGGGAAAGTATTACAGTAGGTTAGAGGTGGTAGTAACCCTCTTTATAATTCCTACATTTAGGGTTAAGAATTGTTTTGTTTCTTAATAATTAAGAAGTCTGCTGTGTTTGGATAATCTCTTTGTTGTATTTTGAAACCTCATTAAAATCACAAACTTGTTCCTATACCTTTTACTTTCTACTTGACTAGAATGGTTGCACAAAGTTTGCTAATTGTGGCCAAACACTGGGTATTTTCCACAGTTCCATACTGTATTATTTTATATTGCATAACATTATATATTATCTAAAATACACACTAAATAATAATACAGATAAAACAAATAACTATTTTTAAAACCGCTGCAATAGTTAAGGATTTATAAGTTTACAAAATTTTCTCTATTGCCCTGCACATAGTAAAAGCTGAGCTGGAAAAAGTGGAAGTAGTTAAAAAGTTTTCTTTATCATTGCTTATTTAAACTCTATACTATTAAATCCTGAACGATACAGTTTCTGTCATGGCACCACTATTACATAAATGCTGAAATGAATTCAATAAAATTAATTTAGCCACCAAAAGTTCATAAGAAAATCAAGAACCACCTTCCAAAGGCTTTTATATGAATACATTAAAAAACAAAATGTTCACTTTAAGTGCATTACATTTCAGGCTTCTACTTTAGAAAGTTAATTGGAGCTGTTTTTCTTGTTTAGCAGGTTTGTGGGTAAAGCAGACAGATTGCACAACATAATGTTACAGATAGAGAAATGCTCGTAATTATCTCATTAGGTCAAGGTGCACATTTCTCAAGTGTTTCATACAGCCATTTTCTTTTAAAATAATAAAAGGAAATCAACAGCATTCAAAAAAGCAATTGAACAGAAGTGCTTTAATTTTTTACCCCAACAATCCATTACAGCTCATCAGCAAAAAGCAAAACTAGATTTAGTTTAGTACAATTAGTAAAAGTACATAATAGATTTAAGCTGTCTCCAAAATTAAAAATGCACATTGCATTGGAATCTAAATGTATACAAAACATTTTTTTAACAACTGCCACTTGCTGGCTACAAGAGCATCTTGCAATTTTAAAGTTTTGATTTTCCTTTTTACATGTTAAGGAATATTGTATTTAAGACCTACTCCTGAAAATAAAATGCTAGGAGAACTGACATTCTAATACCTCCTTATAGTTTAAACAAATGCACCCAAAGTGTTAGGGCACAAAGCTATGGACATACTGTATGATGTCTGTGATCTTTCAACAACCTTTGCTTTTCAGTTTGTTTCAGGAGATCTGGAAAATTATTCCTTTTCAGTACATGAGAAACCTTCAGTAAATTATTTTTTGAACATGAAAACATCTTTTGGCAGAAAAGACAAAATAACTTTAGAATAACAAATTATATTGTCTTTCCAAGAAACAGACATCATGACAACCTAATGCTGTGGTTTTATTACTGGAGATCCTAAATAATACACCCATCTGTTTAATCTTTCCCAACAAAAGTCATTGCAACAATAAGAATTAAGAGCTTTATTTGCGATTAACTGTGCAATACTGACAGGCACGCACAAATGGCAGAATGCCATATCAGTCAACATCAAGCCTCCGACATTCAAACTGACAACATTTAATATTACTGAAAGATGAAAAGGCATAAAATAATGAAAACGTTCAAATTTAAAATAGTTGATTTGATAGAGAACGCAAAAAACAAAACTGCCCTTTTCAATCTGAAAGCTATTAAAAAAATGAAAATCCAGTTTTGCTGTCTATTCATGTAACAAAAGGTGGCTTAGTTTTGTTTGTATATTGTGTTGAAAAGCTCCAATGTTCCACACCTCCTTTTTTCCCCTATCACTATGATTCATAAATTCCATGGTAAGCTTCCAATATATCACAAAGAGGGTGTGTCTCAGTCAGAAGCCTAGGACTGATGCATACAGCTGCTCTTAGACAACAGTTAAGTATCTTTTTAAAGAATCTAGTGAATGCTTCTTGTTCAGGTTTGCAACAACAGGGGTATACCTCCAGGGAAGAAATTTAAAAACAGACTTATTTGGAATATTAACTTTTTTTCTCCTTAATAACCATTTAATAGAACAGTAAAATTATTGATACAGTATGCATATACTTTTTGCAACATCTAAACTAAATTAGAAAACCATAACCTAACAATGTGAGAGCCACAGAAATAATACTTGAAGTTTTTATCAAGTCAATAGACTAAGAGTGACTCCCACCAATATGGTCATAGTGTTATCTAGAGCAACTCCATATTATTATTGCTACAAATAAACAATTTAACAATTTAGTATTATTACTACAAAAAAACAAAGCAAAGCTTAAAAGTTTAAATACAGTGCATAAATCTGAAGAGCATTTCATACCTTCATTGCATGTCTTAAACTCCAAGCATCATAGTATGTAGTTGGCATGAACAGTGCAAGGATGACTTCTTCCATGTTCCCACTCAGTTCTGACTTCAAATCTTTAATGACATCCTGTAAAGGGGGACAATGTCAGCCTTTATTCTTTCAGTTTTTTCAGGCATTTAAAGCTGTGCTTGTACCAGACTCACAACATTCACTTTTTTGGCCAATTTTTCTTAAGAAGATCGTATGAACCTCTGCAAATAGGAATTTTACATTGGCTATAACTCTTGCTGTGACTGAATGTGAACTATAGCTCACAGCTAATAACAAAACTGTAAAATGTAACACGATAGAATGTATTGATGTGGCCTAAAAAGTATATAAAAATAAATTTCAAAGCTTCAGTGCTATTTAAAAATGTGAAAAACAGATCCATAACATCCAGAATACAGGTGAACTAAAATTGTATAAGAAGTATTTTCCATAAAAAGGCTATTAAACTGACACTATAGTTCTATATTACTCAAGGTGCAAGGTACGATTCATTTACATATTAAATTAACATATTTTTTACATAATGTAAACATTAGTTTTACATTATATAGTAAAGAAAGATATTTAATTAAGCACATAAAAATGAAAAAAGTATAGATTCATCAAAATGGTCAACATATTCACCTTTAAAGCAAATTAACATGTATCTTAATAACATTTATGAATTATCAGTTGTCCTCCTGATGGAGGACATGAAACATTTGTATTTACCAAAATATATATTTATTATACATCATAGCCACTTCAAATGACTTCCTGATTGTGCATATGATGGGTATGATTATGGGGGGAAAAAACATATAAAAACAGCTATTCTTTACTTACCAAAAAAAAAACTTTATTTTTAGCAATTCAAGTATTGCCTTAAAACTTAGAGAACACTATATACTGTTATTCATATTTGCAAGATTACACATTACATTTTGTAGAAATAATCTTTTTTCATAAGAGGAATCAAAAATGAACAGCAAACCCTACAATCAGTGATCTGAATATTTCTAAAATCATTCTAAACAAGAATGGTTCCTTCACAGCATTCTTAATGCACAGATAGGATAAGTAATGCATTTCCAAGATGTATCTGTACACCACCAACAGTGCTCAATCCAACTCACTTTCCCATACATGGTCTTGAACATTGTCTTGATTTTCTGTCGTTCCTCATTTGTACGACGAGATACAACATCAATAATGGCTTGCTCATCCGTTCCTTGACAAAAGGAAAACTTACACTGCTGTAAAGGCTCAACAATAAAATTAGCATGAATAATTCTCCAAGACAAATGAATATCTTGTCATGAAAATGAGAACAGGATTTAATCAAACTTTCTTTTTAGCAGCCTCAGCTCCTGACAGTGGATGTCATATAACTTCATTAATTACAATTCTAGGAAACAAATCAAAGGAAAGCAGAGTCATTGCTTTCATTTCATCCCAGATTCACAATAGTTAGGCTATGAGCAGTTCATAGACATCAATTATAACTAAGTCTTGACTACATAATGTTTAAGTAAGCATGTATATGGTAATTGCTAATCCGATAATCCGTCACTATTCCTAGTGACAAATTTAAATCCTGTATTTAGGTATGCAGATACTTGTCATTTGTGTAATATAATCAGGTAATAGCTTTAATATTAATTATCTAAAACTATTTTTCAAGACTTCAAAGTTATTTAACAGAATAACTTACCAAACCCCTTCATGGCCTTCCGAAGAATAGCTGCGTCTGCCTCAGCATTAAAACCAGGAGTGGGCTTTATAGTGCCCTGGTACACTGGCTTTCCTACCACAGGCAGTGGCTAAAATGAATACCAAAGAATTACTTTTAAATCTAATTGGATATAAAGGAGTTGAAAACGAAACACTGTTTTGTGCCAGTCATACAATGTGTTTCCTTAATGGAAGCAGGGTTCAAACATGCTGTTGACAAATACTTTTTCTTATTAAAAACATAAATAGTAGTGAAGCACCAAATCCTATGCTTTTCCAAAATTATAGGCCACATCTGACTACATTTTAACTTCATTTTCCTCTGAGGCACATGGATTTTGTACATTGCCAATACTTACTTCATGATTATCAAGGATAAAGAACCGAAAGTTGAATCACGAATTTAGCAAAAATTGTCTATTATATAAAAACCATGAAATGGCGTATTTTTAAAACTGTTTCAACATCTCAACATCTCACAGGACTTGCAAGTGCAGGCAATGTACAATATGCAGTATGTCTGTAACATGCATATTAGCAAAGCAATAAAAAGGATAAAGTAAAATAAAGCAGAACAGGTCTGGGATGGTTAGGACCGATGGCCATTCTTTAAACAATACTGTAATTGTAAAAAGCTTCAAAGCAGTGACCATTGGCTCATTTTAATTCAAATAAAAACTACATCTTGCCATGTTTATTCCAGTGTTGTACTATACATATTAATCAACTGTTGTGGGCCATCTGATATTCTGAAAATGACTGAAAAATCATTAAGACAAAAAAAATCTGATAACAGAAGCAGGATAAAGGAAAAAATCCTTTTTTTCCCCCTCACATTTTCTACACTTTTCTATCTGTAACATACAAATGTTACTAGGTTACAAGCTCAAGTACAATATAAGTTAGTTAAGAACTTTCTAAGCAGTGAAAGAGACCTGCTGCTTTTCTTCTCTCTTCTGGCTTAAAATAGATTCCCACACCCTTTAAAGCCCATGTTATCCAAGGGTTTGACTCATTTCATTGAAGATTACTTTTTTTTGTCAGAGGCTACAATGTTTCATGAGGTATGTCGATTAGGTGTTGGTAGCACAAAGCAAATGTCACCCAGGTAAATATAATAAAGATTTTATCTCTCAACAGTCTCCAGTATTTGGATCAGTTTCAATAGCAAGCAAAGCTTCATTCCATTCCATACATCTGCCCTTTCTTCTAAGAAAATACTCTGTATGTGATACTATTCACATTTAAAAATTGTATGGCAGAATGATTACCATATATAACTGATTTATTTAATAATGTTTTGTACAGTTTTCAGGATACACATCAAACAGTGTGGATGCAGTAAGGGTTTTAACATAATAACATGCTGTGCCACAGATCATAAAGCAGACATGAAAAAAACTTTAATAAACATATTAAATGTATTATGAATCATTATAATACAAATGATTCTCTGCCATGCAGTCACCTCATCATTAATCCATTGGGGTTCCTCCCAACTAATAAAGCCTGTGTCTTCAAATCCTAACTTATAAGATCAAGACAAACAACAAAACACAGCATAATGTATATGTAGTAAATGCTAATTCACACAATAAAAATATTAACAAACACCTATCTAATGGGTGGCTTTATCAGATTGACAAATTCCAGAATTAATTTCTAAAAATGATTCCACTTTCTAAAAAATTGCCAGTTATAAAAATTATCAGTATTCACAATTCATCTCACTAATAGGAACTGCATTACTTTCACTGGATGCAGTGAAAATGTATGTTACTTGTAACTTATGTTTAACTTTCTCTTTGCTCTGTGAATATTAAAATGGCCCACACTGATTTTCAGGCTCAGACACTATGGGTCTATTGCACTTAATGAAAGCAGTATAGTAACAGGGGATGATCCCGTTGTATGCAGCTCCATACTAGGTGAATATTAATTCCAACGTACTTGGCTCTGGATTAAAAATATCCTCAATTGCAACAAACCTAAAGTAACAGTTGCTGCCCTCTAGAGGATATTAAAGTATGGGAATAAGTTAGTGCCAACCTTGCTATAGATAAGACTAATTATTTAATGCCTTACGAAAATTGGCATGTCTGTTGCAATCGACCTCATGTGACTACATTATTAGCCTAGGAACTGTGCTGAAAAAGGGTTTCTTTAACAGTGCTGGAGGTACTTTGCCCTTACCTGTGGTTGCTGACCTGGCATTGGTCCACCAGGAAATCCACCTGCAATAAAGACATGTCAGCAAAAGAGTTATAAGCCACGTCTGTGGAACAGGGATTCTCATTCATGGCTCATCACATGTCAAAATAAGACATTTCTCCTTGTGTCACTGACAGTAACACAAGGATCATACAGTAACCAAGGAGTGCATATATGGCTTGCCTTTTTTTGGAAAAGGTATGCATTGAGTGGAAAACGGGGAAAATTATTCCAAGAATTTAAGCATAAGACTGAGTCCTGCTTGCACTGCAAACAAACATTTGGGAGTGACCTACAAAAAAGGTTTGCAGTTGTTGACCTTAAACTACATGCTTGAAAAATGTTGTGAACACTTCAAGGTTATCATTATTTTAGATATTATAGAGATATTATATGAATCTGAACTCTTAATGAATATATAGAATGAATATCCCAAATATTTCCAACACATAAAAAGGGATTTGATCACCAGATATTCTTGGATGCAAAAGTAAATGTAAAAGTTTCAGTCAATAATTTGTGGCACCTCCTTTAGCAGCAATAAGTTCACACAGTCGCCTCCTATAACCAATTATCAGTCTCTGACATCTTGCTTGAGGGATTTTTTCCCCACTCCTCTTTACAAAACCCCGCCAGCTCTGTGAGGTTTGCAGAATGTTTTGCACGAACAGTCCTCATAAGGTCCTGCCACAGCATTTCAATAGAATTCAGGTCAGGGCTTTGGCTTGGCCATTCCAGCACATCTCACAATCTCTTCTTCCTAAGCCATTCTTTAGTGGACTTACTTGAAAGTTTAGGATCGTTGTCTTGTTGAAAAATCCACTTTGTGCTCAGCTTGAGTTTTTGAACTGATGGCGTGACATTCTTCTGAAGTATTCCTTGATATTTCTTAGAATTCATGACTCCCTCAATGATGTCATGTTGCCCAGGGCCAAAGTAAGAAAAACAGCCCCATACAAGGACACTCCCACCACTATGCTTGACACTAGGGGTAAGGTTTTGGTGGTGGTAGGCTGTGTCGGTTCTTCGCAAAACATGTGCCCTCTTTTTGTGCCCAAATAGTTCAATTTTGGACTCATCTGTTCAGAGAACAGACTTCCAGAACTCTTCAGGCTTTCCCAGGTGGTCTCTGGCAAACTTCAGACGGGCAGCTTTGTTCTTTTTTGACAGAAGAGGCTTCTTCCTGGCAACCCTTCCATAGATGGCATTTCTGTTCAGGGTTCTTCTTACTGTTGATCTATGCACCACTACTCCACAGGCAGCAAGGGAGGCTTGTAGATCTCTGGATGTTATTAAAGGATTACTTTTTACTTCTTTTATTATTCTCCTTATGGCCCTAGGTGAAATTATTAGGAGGACGTTCACTTCTTGGCAGGGTTGCCATTGTTTTAAATGCCCTCCACTTGTATACTCTTTGCCTAACAGCGGATTTATGGAGTCCAAATCTTTTTGAAATGGTTTTATAACCTTGTCCAGATTGATGAGCATCCACTACTTTTTTCCTCAGTTCTGCTGATGTTTCCTTAGTTCGAGGCATGATGCTAGACTCATAGGAAGAGTAACTGACCTGTTTCTTGCAATTTTTTATGTTTGCTCCTCTCTAACACATCATTTTACATATTCAATTTCATTGGTTATCTCAGTTAATTAACACCTTGTCATTGACCCATCTGATCCTGCTTTACCTAGATGTAAGTCATATGTGCACCTGCACAATTTCTGTATACTGTGTGTTTTATTTTGCTGCATGGACATTTTCTTTCAAAACACTCAAATTGGTGAATAATTAAACTGTATTTCAATTAGGAATTGACAAATTCTGATTAAATATACATTTTGTGGTTTTAAAAATAAAAAACTCAAATTATGCAATGGGTTCACAAACTTTCAAGCATGACTGTGGTATACAACGTGTCCAAACCCCTTTTTTCTTTCACTTAGTGCTACATTATTTATATTAATAGCACGCACACAAATAATTACTATTTCAATTGCAAGTACAGAGAGCATTCTCACAGCAATGATAAGAAATGAGAAATTATTGAGGCAGAGTGGTGGCTCTGTGGCTAAGGATCTGCGCCTGTGCCTGGAAGATTGCCAGTTCAAATCCCACGGCTGGAAGAGAGATCCTACTCCATTGAGCCCTTTACTCCAGCTCCTCTGGGGGCACCGTATAAATGGCTGACCCTGCGCTCTGACCCCAAGCTTCTCTATCCCTGTCTGTGTGCCTGTGTGTCTCATGCAAGAAATCGTATATGGCTAATAAAGTGATCTTATCTTATTAACAGGAAGATATCATAAAAAATGAATGAAAACCACAAGCACTGTTAGTAATATTGTTTAAAAAAGTAGAAGAACAATCTAAAAGAATGGAGTAAAAGCCATGAAATCTCACTCACAATACAATAAATTAAAATACATCTAATTTCACAGTGCTTATAGTGTTCATATTATTTTTTAACTGTAATGAGAACTACTCATTCAGCTGCAAACACTTCGAGAAAATATGACATGAACAGCATGTGTGGACAGAACACACCTGGCTGAGGGGCTGGTCCTCCTCCACCATAGGCCTGGCCTGGAGGCTGGGGGTATCCACCGTACCCAGGGCCTCCAGGGGGAGCGCCAAACCCAGGGCCTCCAGGGGGAACGCCATACCCAGGGCCTCCTGGAGGGGCTCCATACCCTGGGCCTCCTGGAGGGGCTCCATACCCTGGGCCTCCCGGCACTGTCAAAGAAAGTGTAAACACCAACCTTTAATGTGTCTAAACAGCTGCATACACAGAATAATGTTTAAAAGAGGCCCACATATTCTTAGGCGATTCCAATAAAATGTTCAGGGTCCAAATGATGCGATGGAGCAATAGGTGAAGCACTTTAGCAGAAACCAAACAAATAATGGAACAGTGTAAACAGATTCCCAGCTGACTAAAATTGCTAAAATGTGACTAAAGCAGATTTAAGCAATGTATCTATATCGTTCTCAATATTATGCCTTCAGGAGGAAAAGAAACAATTTTAAAAGACCATTTACGTTCGGCTTTAAAATGCACATACATGTTTTGGTATTAAGGCACTACCTGTACAGACAGAGCATTCATGTTTCTCCAAAAATTCAACACAAATCTTGTACCTCCGGGGTAAGAGGGATATCCTCCAGCCGCAGGTTGCTGGGGGTATCCACTGGGGGCTGGATACCCTCCTGGGCCGGGGGCTTGTGGGTACCCAGGATATCCAGCTCCTGGCTGCCCCTGAGGATAGGCACCCCCAACACCCATTGGGGCTGTCGGGGGGTAACCTGCTCCTGGGGCACCTGGATACTGTCCTGGGGGTGGATAGGCAGAACCTCCAGCTCCCTGAGGCTATAGAAACAGCAAAACATATAAGGATATACAGTACACAGTCACAGTAATGGTGTATGTCACATTCAGCTGAGGCAACGGTACATGTTGCCTCAAGATTTCTGGAATGATAAGCAAGACACAAGAGAACTGAAAGGTAAGAGAGTGGTTGGGCAACTTTGCTTGGCCAGTGAAGCAAAAATCAAATGGTAGGCTTTTTGCATACAGTATATGGCTTGCTTTTGTTTAAGCCATATTTGTTTCTTAAAACACTAAGGAAAACTCCATCAATTCATTATCAGAAAGCTGCTAATTCTTAATAAGAGCTGGGTCTGTAATGAAAACAAAATAACAGCCAACCTCATAAGATATACTTGCTTGTTTAGGACATAAGAGTAACCTACAGGGTATCCAGGGTAGGAAGGAGGGTATCCTGAGGGTGGATAACCTGGGTATGACATTCTGCAAGAAAAAAAAAAGCTCATTAGTGTTACGACAGCTACACAAACCAGTAGAATTGTAAAATTGCATTTTTCTCAACATTTAGAGAACATGTACAAAACAAAAAAAAATACTTCAAGCTTTAGAAAATGATGCAGTGGCAGCATTTTACACTGAGAATAGAATTTTGTATTTTTTATAGGACCATTCATAAAACCTGTCTGTTTTGGAACAATAATTACAAATAATTGCCTACAGGACAGACCACTATATAGGGCCTACAGCCAATGCAGAACTGTTTTCAAGTTTATGGACACAAACAGGTGGTACATGAGCGTAACAGTGGAACTGTAACATGATACCTGTACCGCTATCCTTTACTAAACACTACATACCTTGTTCTCTTTTATTCATAGCCAGGCTCAAAGATAATTATCCTTTTAATGTTAGCTAAACTGGGTCACACATGTCAAATCAAAACAGAAAATCCCAGTCTCACAGATTTTGCTAAAACACGTATCTGGGAGTTCAGACATGTTTTAAAGCAATCATGAAAATCAGTTGATTTTGTGCGTGTATTGGTAGCCAAACTAAGTGTTCTGTAAATCTCAAAACTGTAAAAAGACTTCTGTCAAAGTATTATGAGCATCAGAGTAAATAAAGTTGAGAAAGCCTCATTACTAGGATGTTTTATAATCAAGAATGTAACGAGTAGTAGTACACAGTAAAATAATATTTCTCTGTTTTTTAATATCATATGTACTATGTCATGGCAAACAATCTGAGCAGGCCACTAATAATAAAATGACAGTAAAGGAAACTAAGAAGTTTATGCTTCGTGAAGAAAATTAATCGGTCACTTTGCTGTAGTCTCACTGCTCAAAAACGTACAGTAGTTTAATACTAAGCTCAATTGTCCACGATACCGCTATTATAATCTACCTTGGCAACCCTATTCAAATATTTTTTGTAGTTAAAATGGTTTTACTGTCATTTGACAGTTTCCATGTTTTCACTATGCCTTGCTACACCACACCATGCACAGTATGTTAACACCACAAGAATCCACGGGAAAACTATTGTCAAATTACACTAAGTGCTGTAGCTACAATCTTTCTACCTTCCCAACTTCGTTAGTTAGTATCTTCGAGTAGGAGGGGCCCCTTCCTCCTAGAAACATAATTACCAAACAGCACAACAAAGTACTTGCACACAATGGCTGCCAAACCTCGCCCAGGCTGGTGCGGAGCTTCAGTGGTAGATTAAGTACTCCCTCAATTTGTAAAACGCTTTGATTTCCTTTAGGATGAAAAGCACTACACAAAATGCAAGGAATAATCACTAAAGTAGCCAAACAACCTCAATCTGTGGGCTTTCCTTAAGAAATACGAAAGTACTGACGCTAATAAAACAGCTTGTCTTTAGGTTGCGAAACAATACAAATTAAGCAGAAAATGCAGAACTACGACAAATCTGTAAACCTGTTTTCAACCCGATATTGCCAAAAATTGCACGTCCTTATGCACTAATTCTACTTTTTTATTTGCAATTGGCCACATAGAACAGGGTGTGGTAAAGCCAAGGTTGACTGTTTAAGAGTCTAAACTAAAGCAGTGTTTCAAAATGAAAGGTACCTGTAGTTGTGTGCATTACAGCTAAGAACATGTACTTTCCCCTTGCTTGCGTACTTCGTATGTTTTTGGCCTACTTTCCAAAGTCTTCCCTTCAGAAACTAAACCTTCCGGTAATTTTTTGGCTTTTTTTACACGCCTCTTGGTTCCGCTTCGGGAAAGAGAACATTACATTAAAGATAGTTGCAGTCTTACGCCAAAAGAAGACCATCTATAACAGCGATATACATGTTTTTTTAAGGTGAATTATGTTTTTAAATCACGTACCTTTCGGTATTTGTTGTACTTTCACTTCCTTAAAGCAGTCCGTGTTATCCAAAAGCCCCTAGTCAGTATGGAACCTGGAAGTTATTAGCTGAACCAGTGAATTGACTTGACTGCTTGACTCATCCGGGCGTGACGTGGAATTAGGGGAGTAACCTTGTGCTGTTGTAGCGCGGTTTAGAAAGGAATTTTTACAACACTCCATATACACTCTAAATAGCTCACGGATATTCCACTGACGCTGACCCTTGATGCGAATGTACAGGTATTCAAAAAAACTTCAGATAAGGAACTGAAACTGGATCAGTACAATTAATGTTTTTCTTTCTTTTTTAATTGTCCGTTCATATTACATTTGTTTCAGACCCCAAAGGCTTAACTACATGATTACTGAAGTTACAATGAAAACTAATTTATTCGTTTCTGCGTTGTTGCAAATTGCATTGTATGTAAACAGATTTTTTAAAACGTTTTTATCATTTTTGTCAGCCGAAATAGAAAAAAGTACTTACGGACAAAGTTGTAAACATCTGCATAAAAAAACGAACTTGTTATCTTTTCTACATATAAAGTTTATATTTACATTTTTCTATATTTTTTATTTATATAGGTATGATTTAAATTGGCATTACATCATATACTTTAGATTTAACAACGGAACAATACAGATCTTAGTTCTCTCTGTCATGGCGTCATCCTTTGACCAAGGTCAAAGCTTGAAGTCTATGAAATATCACTTCTAGATTATCCAGGAATAATTTAATAATTCAACCTGCATATCAGTAGTCCTATTATAATGTCCTAAATTATAATAGTTTTATGAACAGTGGTGTCTCTGCTTGTGCCACTTGTTCAAACCAAAGATCAAGTAAATCCAGCAATTCAATGGAAGATGACAGTCCTTTAGAATTATTTTTTATTGAGGTCATCTTTTGTAGCCATTTTTGGTTTCCTTTTCATTTTAAGTGGAAATTGGAAAGGGGGGGGGGGCGTAGTAAATGGAAATGCACCCATTTTCTATTGCTTTTCAGCACATAATTCATAATTCAAACTGTTGGTCTCTTGGCATTAAGGTACTGAAAAATATATTCTGTGACAACTCTTCACACTCAACTGTGTCCTTGGAATGTCTGATCCTTTGTTTCTAGTTAACGTGATCCTAGTAGTCTTTGAAGATGCTGGGGTGAGTGATCATCAAAATACTGGTCTATTAGTAAGTGTAGAAACTGGCCCTAGGACAAGCTAATGAGTTTATGGGCGTGAACTGGGAGTTCCACAGCCTACAGTATGTGAGGACAGAATTTTAAAAAGGATACAGAATAGAGGAGACTTGAGAAAACGGTGTGAAACTGCTGCCGAGAAACAGGGGTAAGTCTTAAAGCACGGGTAGTATTCCAGGTCATTGCTTCTGCATTAGTTTTTATAACTTCTGTTACGAATTTAAGGTAAACTTGGGACACGATCCACTTCACACCCTGAATATTTTTCATAAAACTTTGTAAGTGTGTTAATACTTATAGAACAAAATCAGAAGTTTAGTTAATATACTGCAGCACAAATTAATACTCTTTCAACATAAACAGCAGTAAAAAGGAAATGGTAAAGGATTTGGATCTGATCCAAACCAATGAAAATATAAAGGAAGGAAAAAAGCTAAAATATCAAGTCAAAATTAGAAGGCTTGTGCTGACTTCAAAATATCTTTGACAGCTTACATATTAGTTTATTGGAAAATTGTAATTATTCTATTTCACAATTAATTTTCCATTTAGAATTAAATGTACAGTGTTATTTCACTAACAATCGTATGGTTTAACCACACCTTGCTGAGACCGTGAGGCAAACAGCATGTTTGAGGTAGGTCCAAATCATTTGAATATGTATAAATCTCTTTATTAAAGGGAAGATGATATACAGTAAATTTAGCCTTTCATTGTAAAAAAACAAGTAAAACAAAAAAGTGAACAAGTAAAACAAAGGTTTTTCAAATGTATCACCAGAATATGTTTTGATTTTGTTCACCAGAACTAAAGCTACAGTTTAAAACAAGAGTTTCAACTGATAGTGCACATATTCCTCCTGTCAATTCAAGAACAATGTACTAACAAAATAGATATCAATTATACTCAGAAAAAAATCACAGAAAGAATTCCACACAATTGGATTAAGAGCAGCTGGTCACACAGATAATTTATTATGTACTTGTTTTTTTATAAAATAATCAAGGAGAACATAACATGCATGCTTGCTTTAGACACTATGTACATGTTGTGCATCAGCGCAAATAAGAGATGGTTCTGGAAGAATATAAAATGATTTAAATTATTTTTCAGGGGATGAATAACAGATCCAATTTTACATGTAAAACAAAAGAAACAATGGGAAAATACAACAGAGTTCAGAACATTTTGCTACTACTGTAATTGCCCAGTCATTCACCTCTCAAGGCTTTTTTAAAGTAAATTCTTAGGTTCCACTGGAAAGAAACATTTGTAGAAGGGATAATAAGTGTTTGGATTTTGTGAAAATGTAATGGCATTTTTCAACTTTGTAACTGTTAATTGGGAAAAAAATCACCCCAAATAATATTAACATTTTAAGCAGTTTAAATATATTAATAGTAAATAAATTGTACAGCATCAAAGCCTATAGATATTTCTACATGGTTATCCATTGGCTTATGTTTACTGTACATAAGTCTATGCAAATTAAAACATGCATACACAAATTACAGTCAAGGTTCACAGACTTGATATGAACACAAATTTGTAATGCAAAAACACTGGACTATTTTTTAAACTGAAATAGGCCATACATATTGTAATTAGAGGTCTTTAGATTAATATTTCTAATATAGTCATAATCTTTTACATTAGAAGGGGATTTATCACTTTATACATAATTGCAATTTCAAGTAATAAATATTCCTTTAGAAAATATTTCAACTCAAAAAAATTATAATACATAATTAGTGCCTAGGAGGAATACACCTGAGGTCAGCATGTTGCACATTTTAACAGCTGAATTTGATTTTTTTTGGCATTTTGTATAAATATCTAAAACACATCTATAGCTTCAGAATGATTTAAAGATCATTCCATCTGAACATTTCAATTTTCCTTTTAAAGACGAAAAACAACAATAAATAAAGGTTAAGCACTTAGCAACTAGGGTTGTATTTGAAATTTTGTTAAATTACCTACCCCACTTTTTGTCCGTTAGGATTGCATCAATGAAAGCCAGACTCACCCACTGCCCATCTGATCCACTGAAACAGTCCATCATGCTCACAAATATCCACCCCCCCTATCCTTACACTGGCTGGTTTTGTAGTTGAATGTTGGTTTAACTTTATTACATATTCTGCATGTTGCACATATCAGTCAACAATGCTTGTTAATTCCTTGTCTCTTGAGCTAAAGCTCTGTAGAAGCAGATACCTAAATAATATATAAATTCAGACATGAAGTGTGCAAAAGAGGACTTGGTGTAGTCACTGCACATTATTGTTGTCAGTCCCATTGTTTTCAATGGCATTCGAAGGGCTTATTGTATGAATACCATCTTGCTGGAGGGCATCTCTCCGAGGGGGCATTCTCTCGTTGATCCTGTCTAAGCCTTTCGCCTCTTCAAAGCTGCAGATTTTATGTTGCGGCGAAAATCCTCGGATCGCTTAACAAAATGCAAATCGGATGAGTGAGTGATGGAAAGGCAGTAGGAGGAGGAGACTGGGGTAGAGAATGACAAAACTCAGTATGCAAGTCAACCTGTCCAAGAACTGATTAAAAAAAAGTAAGCTTAAGGTTATCTTATTGTAAGCACTCAGAAAAAGGCAGTGTCAACAGAAATTTTACTTAAAGAAAATATTTGCATTATTTCAATGGCTGTGTATTTTAGGGGCAGCTTGGTTACAAACATACTGCATTTCCATAGGTACATTACCTGACTTTAAAGTTTGAGTATGTTGATGGCATAATGCCCTCAGCGACATACATGTATGCTGAAGCTATGACCAACTACAGCACCATGTTACCAATAATATTAATGCAAAGGAACAAGTAATAGGTTTATTCCATGCTGAAAAAAAGAAGAGAGAAAAAACACGTTTCGGCCGTGCAGCCTTCTTCAGGTGTGGAATAAACCTATTACTTGTTCCTTTATAGCCTACGCATGCTGACGCAGCTACCCACCTGAACTACAATAATATTAATGATGCGTATTATGCACACAAAATGCATACAACATATTACACATCACAAAAGTGCAGTCTTCTGTAAAAAGGTTTAACTACTGTATAGCCTACATACTGTATATTATATATACATACACATGTAGTACTGGGTTCATAGCCATTGTAATGATGCAGACAAAAACACAAACCTGTAACAGATCTCCAGGAGATTAAAAGAAACGTTGATCTATAAGTTATGCTCTACACAAAAAATACCTTCCAACATTCACCACTATCAGCCTTTTTGTGTACTTGCCCTAACTGAGACCTGTGTCTGAGTGTGCAGGAACAAGCAGTAGCAAAAGGAATAAATATACACATTTTTACATACGACAATTTATGTTGTTTTTATGCCTATCATACTTGGAATACATCAAAGTTATTTGTATTCTCAGGGGACCCTTTCACTTAGCAATTAGGAAAAACTTACTACAAGGCCATTCACAAATACAAGTTATTTCATCCTGAAACAAGCACATTTTGTGTCTTACAGCGAGTAAAAAAACCATCATCAACAGCAAATGTTTTTTGAAATACCAAAATACTTTTCTAAATTAAAGAATAAACTGTCACTAAGCTGCATGTTGGTTTATTCTTCCAAACATTAATACCAGAACGCAAAATTAGAAAAGTTCACAATAATACCAAAACTAAACATTCAAAACAACTCAAAAGAAAAAAAAACAAGAAAGCAAGTCTATTAACCTTTTCTTTGTTAAAGGGTACTCGGAGTTTGGAGACAACTACAAATGGAGCATAGTGAATTATATTCCTAACAAAAGCAGGATACATCCCATATACTGTAACTAGGACATGTGCCTAATGGAAATGTAGTTCATGTCTTTTTGTGAAGTGGCAGCCCCCAACACATATTATGTAAGATTTTTACAAATATGTTTTTTTTAAATCTTCATGTTCACAGATGCATACCATTCCTACTGTACTTATAAAATAACTCTGTGACACTTTATTACACTACACATTAGATTGGTTTCACCAATATAGAGAAAACATTTTGCATGTTTTATGAGATCTTTACAGTGCAACTTAAGGTGAGAAAGAAAAAAAACAGTTATTTCCTTAACTAATAGATCAGGAAGAGAGTTGAGAAGATATTACATTACAGAACACAAAAATAAATCATTTTAAATTACATGAAACTTCTGAAAAACTGCTCACATGCAGGAGTATCAAACAGCATAAAACAAAGTGAAGCATTTGGATAATACATGCAAAGAATGGGGCAGATAAGGAGAAATCTCAAGTCATCAAACTGTTGTTGACATCACTAGATGCAAGCAGAGATGGTCAGATTAAATGAACTTTTGAATTAGTGTATAGCTCTCCAATTCAGTTTTATTTATTTTGTAAAATGAAAAACAATTCTTGAACTTAAGTTGGAAAAATAATTTTTACTACTCAAGTTCATAATTCCCTATTTGAAGCCTTACTTCTAGGAAACAGCTGTACATTTCAAAATATATTGCATTCGCTCCTTTCTTAAAGGTCATTTGCCCCCAATAATTGCTGAAAGTTTCAATATAATACTCAATGTAAATCATGCCAGTCAATTTGAGAAAGACTTCCTGTAGAAATGCTCATACTTCTAGATATTGATTTTGGACCATATGGGATACTTTTAAATTGCAAAATGGAAAAATCTGGGAATTGCAAGTTTATTTTAATTTAAGAAATAAACAGCTATTTTGATTTCTCTCTTCCCATCTGATCTTACTGTATGTTAGACTGACATACAGATTTCAAGCTCAATATATGGATCTATAGATCGTTCCAGTATTCTAGTTGTATTAAGGAATCATTTAAGCACTGATCCTTAATTATTTACTTAAAGAATCAAGTAAATATACATTTGATTATAAAAAGATCTTATACTGGACAGCTCTGACAACACACTATTCCAACCAAAAGATTCATTTAATTGTTTTTCTTTTTACAAAGGCAGAAAGAAGTTTATAGTTTTGCTCTTGGTATACCAGAATAGAACAATTACCCATCATATTCTGCTTAAAGTAGTGCTAATCAATTGGGAAGTGACAGATCACTGGTGGTGTAAATTCACACGCAACCCACAAAAATAGAAAAGACCACCCGCTGCCCACCACCACAGATCTGGGCCACAGACAGACACTGCAGCATACCTTCATCAGCCTCTATTGCCTCAACCGTGGCTGTGAGCAGACGCATGCAAAGATGAATGAGAGAGATGCACAGTGTAATATCGCATATAGAGAGAAAGAAAGAAAGGTCAATCTCGTCAATCACAAACACTATCCCACATTGGCTGAACAGCATATGCAGCTTTGTATTTTAATATAAAATATAATAAAAATGATAACCACATCTACCTTTGCAACTGGTTGCTGCATAAGAATGTTGGAGATTTTTTTTTATGCCATCCAATGACACACAGGCAAATGGATATTTTGTTTTTCTATTTTAACCAACATAGTTGAAATGGAGGACTTAATGTATACCTTGACTGCCTGGAAATTTACAGCATTTTTGTCCCTAGTAATCATTCAAATATTTATTCAGCACAATATGAAACAGAAATAAAGGTTATAATCTCAACTAAATATAGATATGAATGTATAATGTTTACTTCCATACTAATTTACATTGTTTGAACATAAATGGTTAATTATAGATGATTTTTTATATAAACTATTTTTATATTAATTCAGATTAAAAATACAAATGCTTAAGTTTAATTTTATTATATATTTATTTCATTTTCATGCAAAAATATATGCACACACAAATAAACATTTGTTATTTTAACTCAATTACATTTTTAACACTCGCACGCAAACATCCAAACAACCACACACAAATGTAAATATACTGTATATGTATATACATACCACAGATCATAAGTCTGGAAGTAACAGATAATATACAGAAGAACTAGAGGTTAGGAACATTTTAATAGATTTTTCCTCATGCAAACACAAACCATGTCCTCACCACTAGTTTTATCTTTTGAACATGATGGTACTGTATAATGGATTTTCCATTAAAACCATTTTTAACGAAGACAGAACTATCTGTTCAAAAGTGTAAACTATGAAGTGTTTGAGTGAGGAAAATATATTCAGCACCTCTAGATCTTCTATATACAGTGGTGCTAGAAAGTTTGTGAATTTCTGCAAAAGTGTGACCTAAAATGTGATCAGATCTTCATCTAAGTCATTAAAATAGATAAAGAGAACCCAATAAAACAAATAACACGCAAAATGATATACGTTTTCATTCATTTATTGATCAAAATTATCTTTGTTGGAAAAAGTATGTGAACCTCTAGGATTATCAGTTCAGTTAAGGGGATAATTAGAGTCAGGAGTGTCGATCAATGGGATGACAATCAGGTGTGGGTTTGAGTGGCCCAGCCTTATTTAAAAAACTTAAACCCTAGTCTTCACTACCAAAGTCTGGTCTTCACCACATAGGTTTGTGAACGCATGCCATGCCTCCATCAAAGGAGATTTCTGAGGTCCTCAGAAAAAGTGTTGTCGATGCTCATCAGGCTCGAAAAGGCTACAAAATGATTTCTAAAGTCTTTGGGCTTCACCAATCCACTGTCAGACAAACAGTGTACAAATGGAGAAAATTTAACACCACTGTTACTCTCCCCAGGAGTGGTTGTCCAACAAAAATTACTCCAAGAGCAAGGCGTATAATATTCCGGAAGATCACAAAGAACCCAAGGCTAACGTCTAAGGTCCTACAGGCCTCTCTTGCACTGGCTAATGTCAGTGTTCATGAGTCCATGTTACATCCCAGTGTGTGGTCTATGTGTGTTTTTGTTATGTTCCACACTTCTGACTTTGATTGTTCTCCCTCCCCCATTGGTCCACCATTACACCACTGTTTCCGTAGGTCATTAACTTTGATGTGGTTTTTGATCAATCACAACTCATCTTATTCAGTATAAAACATGGAGGCTTTCAGAAGGAAAGGGCCTTTAGTTTGACTTCAGTCCTGCTCGCATTATTTCGCTTTTGGTTTTGCTTTGGCTTTGTTGGTTCGTTGTTTTGCTTTGTGTGTGTGTTTTCATATAGCTTTGGCTTTGTTGTTTTGTTGGTTTCTGTTAATCTTTTTGTACTTTCATGTTTGCATTATCCTTATTTTGCTATTACCTTGCCCAAACTTGTATCAACCTCTGTGTTCTTTTGTACCCTGTTACTTGTCTACTCTCGTTTGTATTTGTAGTTCACTTGTGTATTTGTGTTAACTTTTGTGTATAGAGTTAGTTCAGGTTGTTAGGTACATTTTGCACACACAGTTGATTCTTGTATCAGTGACACTAGTTTAGTACAGGTGAGTGCCGTTTGTCTTGTATGGTTTTGGGTAGTCAGTAGAGGTTAGCTAGGGTGTTGAAGACGCCGAAGACCGTGTGTTTCGGGTTTTCTTTTGTAGTCAGGTTAGCTTTCACTCACTTTCTTAGCCAGCTCCATTTTGTTTGTTATTTTCTTTTCTTTGGCACCACTCTAGTTCTCTTACCCTGTGTGTTATTGTGTCCAATTATAAACCAGTCACTTATTCAACTTAAAATCATCACTTTTGCACTGACCCTTGTTATCATGCTTCCTAGTCCCTCACCAGAACCCACCTGCTGCCAAAAATTATCCTAAATGTTACACCCCTTTCCCCCTAGACACTTGGGGTTGTAACAGTCCACCATCAGGCAAACACTGAACAAGAATGGTGTGCATGGGAGGACAGCTACTCTCCAAGAAGAACATTGGTGCCCGTTTAAAGTTTGCTAAAGACCAACCTGGATGAGCCAGAAGACTACTGGAAGAATGTTCTGTGGACGGATGAGTTGAAAATATAACTTTTTGGCTTAAATGAGAAACGTTATGTTTAGGAAAAACCAAACATGCATTCCAACATGAACCTCGTCCCAACCGTGAAACACGATGGTGGCAGTATCATGGTTTGGGGCTGTTTTGCTGCCACAGGACCTGGATTGGCTTGCAATCATTGACGGAACTATGAATTCTGGATTGTACCAACAAATTCTACCGGAGAATGTCAGTGTATCTGTCCGTGAACTGAAGCTCAACAGAAGGTGAGTCTTGCAGCAAGACAACGACCCTAAACACACAAGTCAGTCTACCAAACAATGGTTGAAGCAAAGAAATTTTGCGTTTTGGAATGTCAAAAGTCCAGACCTTAATCAAATAGAAATGTTGTGGCCGGACCTGAAGGGGGGAGTTCATGCAAGAAAGTCCATCAACGTCACTGAGTTGAAGCAGTTCTGTAAGGAGGATTTGGCCAAAATTCTTCTAAGCCGATGTGCGGGACTGATCAACAGTCACCTTAAACTTTTGGTTGAAGTCATTGCTGCTCAAGAGGGTCACACCAGTTACTGAAAGCATAGGTTCACACACTTTTTCCGACAAAGACATTTAATGATGGATAATTTTGATCAATGAATAAATGAAAAAGTATATATATCCTTTTGTGTGTTATTTGTTTTATCGGGTTCTCTTTATTTTTATGACTTAGATGAAGATCTGGTCACATTTTATGAAACAATTCAAAAGGGTTCACAAACGTTCTAGCACCACTGTTGTATAGTATGTTAAATCTAAACTGTTGATCTGCAATGTGTACAATATATTATATTCAATTTTAAATGCTTTTGTTTTAGAAATGGATAATATTTTAAGCCAAGCTATGACATTGGAAACAGACTACATTTTTTGGGATATTGCTCCTCACAAGGATTGTACACACAAATAATTTAACCCCGAAAATCAAATCTATAAATGGCTACCACATAGGCAAGGAAAAAGGAAACTTTGGGTTACAGAGACATTTTAGGGAAGGCTGTTTAAAAAATACATACCACATTACACATACATGACAGAGGGCACAAACTTTGGCATAGATGTACCAGGGTATACAAGTCAGGCTGCTCACTTTAACCATATGTACAGAGACAGAACATATAAATACATACAATTACATACTGTATGTATTTTTCTGCTTTCTATCATACTTTTGTTAAGCCACAGAATGATAACACTATAAGAGGCAACACAGTACGTCAAAACACAAAACTACATATTTGTATAATTTGCATAATATTCTTTGCACATTTTATGTTCTACGTGAAGAGTACCTGGAACTTGGTGGGGAAAAGGGCATTAGCCATTACTGCAACTTGATTAAATAATTAATATGTTTTATTTTCTTGTATACCCTGGCGTGGCATGCATTGGAAGTAGCCCCAGAAACATGTAAAGACTGCACTGACTTCAGCCACTAAGACAGGTACTGAAAAGCATAAGGAATTCCCAGCATGCATTATGTGTATTGCTAGCAAGAGAGTGAGACGTGCCCCAGTCCATCTGAGGAACAGCAAGCTGCAAGGAAGCATCATCATTACCGCTCTGCAGAGTCTGCCGTCCTCCCGCCAGAACCCCGCTTGGCAGCATCCCAGTCGGAGTTAACCCTTTCAGTGTCAGCACACTCTCACTTTCCTCCCTACGTGTACCAAGAAATAAGTAGCAATTACAAGACAAGAAGACATGTTGTGCATTGACATTGTAATCTGAGAATTACACCATGCACATTTTAACAGATTTGAAATACTATTCATCTAGCTTTTAGGCCATGGAAGTGACACTAAGTTATGCTTGCATCAGTACATATTTCCTGATCAGGGGTGAGTTTCCCGAAAGCATCGTAACGCTAAGAACATTGTAAACCCGATCTTAAGATTGATCGTTAATTTACGAGTGTTTCCCAAAACCCATCGTAACTAAAGTAGCATCCTTTGTAATCTACGTGCTCCCAGACCCACTCGTTAATCACTAAGTGCCTCTTAAACTGGCTACTTCTTGCGCCAACCTTAGCGACAGAGATCGCCAGACAGAGCACATTAAATTCAAGTCATGGGAATTCTCTGGAAATATAGAATACTAAGATTTTATATTAAGGATTTTAATATTTTGTTGTACTATGTAAGAGGAAATTTGAAAAAAGAACATTTATTTATACAGTAATTAATTTATTAGTCATCTTGGGTAAATTTCATATTCATAAGTCAAATGTTTTAATAATACTCCCTCTTTTAGTACTTTTGGGGTGGGGTTTAAATTGTATTTAAATTCTATAAAGAACGTGAAACATGTAACATGTATTACAATGTAGCGCCACGCAGGGCGGGCTGAGAACAGCACCTGGGGACTACCGGACTGTACATAGTGGGACGGAGGCTGAGATACAGTCTCTTCCCTTCGTGTGTGTGTGTGTATGTTAGTGTAGGTGCAGCGCTGTAATCCCTGTCCCTGTGTGTGTACCTTTCCCGATTCAAGTTAATAAATGTGTTGTTCAGCCCCATTCCCTGAGTCCCACGCCTGCTCCATTCCGTACTGAAACCCGCGGTTGATACAATATTTAAAATTCTAAAACTGTTTTATGTTAAAAAAATAACAACATTTTTTTCTCATGAAACACTGTGATTCTTAACAATGGCAGCGCGCCAAAACAATATGGCTTTAAATCAAAGACGTCGTACAGGACGCATACACTGTCCACACAGTTAAATTTGGTTTTCTTTTACGGTCACTTATTTTCTTTTCTCTTAGAAACAATAAGGGTCCCATTTTGTGCCTATCTATATGCTTTCGCTTAAATGGTTGTTAAATTATAATGTCATGTTTGCTTCATATTCCTTTTCACAACTTTATTTCATCCCACTGAAGGACCAAAACTGACACCATATAATGAAAGTATTGTCAATCGATTGTTTTTCAATCGACTTGTGATGCTTTTTGCCAAGCGACATCAGGGGAGGGGTTAACAAAGAAGTACTTTATACTCGCTCGTTAAATGACCGATTAAGAGGGGTTTTGGGAAACCCACGAAAAAGTAGCTTGTACGTTACGTAGGTACATTGTAAAGTTGCTCATTAGTCTCTAAGATTAATCGTTTTCGGGAGAGTGCATGTGCTCTCACTATCTGCGCTGATGTAATGGATCATGTAGAAAATATCTGCCTTATTAAATTATTTTAATGTGTATCAGGATAACTGACAGCAGTTTTAAAATGTATAACTTTGAGAGTTAAACACTTAGCTAAAGTTAAAAGACCAGTCCAGTATCAATCAGATTTAATTAAGTTTAGCGCATCACTTACAGTGCCTTGCGAAAGTATTCGGCCCCCTTGAACTTTTCAA